TGAAATTAGAGCTAGTACCGAATGCTGTGTACTATGACTTTCCTTATGAATTCATATCCATGATACCCATGATGAAGTTTAGTTGATAAGTTAGGGCCAGAGAGATGGCTCGGAGCTTAAAGGCACTGGTGCCCAAGTGAAGTCACCTTGAATCAGGTCCCTGCGACTCACATCGTGGAAGAAGAGAACTGACCCCAGAAATTGTCATCTGACCTTCTTGGAGGTGTGCACACTCTCCCACCTACCCCCATGGTAAATAAGGAAATGTAATCTCGAAAGATTAACTGTGATAATCATATAGAATAATTGTAACCATCTATTGTAATAAAAGATCAATATTCAAGCTGACAAACTATTTCTAGAATTTTTCTATGTGAAATTTTCAGATATTCATATGACAATTGATTGCCAGTATCTGAAACTATGGAAAGAAAATGTGGGGATGAGGGTGACCAGAGTGCACATGAGCAACTCCCAGGGACAGAAAAGCTGTGGAAATAAAGACCCGAGACCCAGTTTTGTCTCATTAAGGTTAAGCTATACTGTATTCTGCAGTAGCAGTCCATTACCCACCTGTGTGTCTTTACAGTCCGTTACCCACCTGTGTGTCTTATTGTGGACTTGGCATATTTTTATTATTTTTAATAGTTTTTGGCTTCACATGTTTTACAAGTCATTGTTTTAAGAAATGTTTGAGGGCTGAAGAGATGACTTAGAGGTTAAGAGCACCGACTGCTCTTCCAGAGGTCCTGGGTTCAATTCCCAGCAACCACATGATGGCTCACAACCATCTGTAATGAGATCTGGCGCCCTGTTCTATATACATAATAAATAAATAAATCTTAAAAAAAAAAAGAAATGTTTGAGCTACAAGAATAATATACTTGCTTACTTAATCCTTTAATCAAAAGAGTAAACATTTGAAGATGGAAAATAGGGCTGCTCTATGGCCCGTGTGGTAGAATGCTTGTGTGGCGTTCACAAAGCACCATGTGATTCCCAGTGTGGCGTAGTACTGGGCCTGGCAGAACACGTGTAACCCAGCACGCAGGACCTGGGGTCAGGAGGACCAAGAAGCCCAAAAGTGGACTAGAGAGATGATTCAGTGGTTAAGAGTGTGTACGGCTCTTCCAGAGGATGTGAATTCAGATCCCAGCTCCCATGTTGGGCAGCTCACGACTGCCTGAAACTCCAGTTTCAAGGGATCAAACACCTTTTTCTGGCCGCTGTAGGCACCTGCACTCACATGCTTGGTTGTACACACACACACCCACAAACACAACTTCTTTCTAATGTTTTGGATTTTTTTCCCGATTATTTATTTATTTTATTGATGTTTTGCTTGTATGTATGTCTGTGTGGGAGTGGCGGATCCCCTGGAACAGAGTTATAGAAAATTGTAAGCTGCCATGAGGGTGCTGGGAATTGAACCCAGGTCCTCTGGAAGAGCAGCCAGTGCTCTTAACTGCTGGGCCATCTCTCCAGTCCATTCATAATTTCAAAAAATAATAAAACTTTTTCTTTCATTTCCTTTTTTTTAAAGGAAGTTTGAAGTCATACTTGACCAGCTTGGAATCCATGAGACTCTATCGCAAAAACGAACAAACAGCCAGGTGGTGGTGGTGGTGGTGGCGGCGGCGGCGCACGCTTTTAATCCCTGCACTCCGGAGGCAGAGGCAGGAGGATCTCTGTGAGTTCGAGGCCAGCCTGGTCTACAGAGCAAGATCCAGGACAGCCAGGGCTACAGAGAGAAACCCTGTCACAGGGGGAAAAAAAAAAGAACAACGGGGCTGGAGTGAGGACTTGATGACTTGCTGCTTTTGCAGAGAGATCTTGGTTTGGTTCCTGGCACCCACATGGCAATTCACAACTGTCTGTAATGCCAGTTCCAGGAGTTTCTGATGCCTTCTTCTGGCCTCTGTGGGCACTGCAGGGACATGGTACTTATACATTATATGTGCAAGCACAACATATACACATAACATAAAAATAAACAAATCTTCAAAACAAATAATGAAGATACAAACAGTGGTCAGGGTGAAGTCAGTGGTAGAGCAATTATCTAGAGTGCTCAGGGACTGAAGTTTGCCCTCCAGCACTGCGAGCAAATAAATACGTGAGTCTCTACATATACTAGGGTTCTGATGATTCTAAAGTTAAAAAAAATTTAGAAGTACAAAGTTGGGCTGTAGGTGTGGCTCAGTGTAGGAGACGTGCCTAGATTCTGGGCTCCATCCCCAGAACTGAGACAGGAAGGAAGAAGGAGGGAGGAAGGGAGAGAGGGAAGGAGGGAGGGAGGGAGGAAGGGAGGGAGGGAGGAAGGGAGGGAGGGAGGAAGGGAGGGAGGGAGGGAGAGAGGGAGGGAGGGAGGGAGGGAGGGAGGGAGGGAGGGAGGGAGGTAAAAAAAAGCATAAAGCCACTCAAGTACATTTGGGAATCTCGCAGAACTCGGAGGCTGAGAAACTCAGTTTCTAAAACTATTGTAAGTGGAAGTTGCGTTTCCCATCTGAACCTACTGTACATGACAGCTTAGTCTCAGTGCTCCAGCTTCCGCTTCCACTCTGGAGATCCTGTGGCTGTGGGGAGCTGAGGGTGCCTGATCCTGGGGATGCAGGGGATGAGGTGAAAGGAGAAGACTGGTTTTTGTTTGTTTTTCTTACATTTTAAAATGACATTTGTGTATTTATTTCGTGCGTGTATGTGTGCACACATGTTTGGCCGTCAGGGGGTGACTTGAGGAGTTGGGTCTCTCTGTTCACCACATGAGTTTCAGGGATTGAACTCAGGTAAAGGCCTCTTACCACCGAGTCGTCTCAGCATCCCAAACAAACTCTTTTTTTAGCAGTTGGTGCGAGCTTTATGGAGGCCAGTACTCCCCTTCTCTTTCTTCTCCATGTGAGGGTCAGGGGGCGAGTTGTTGATGAAGTCTTAGCTCTGGGCATCCCAACAGGCTGTCGGTTACCTGTCTGAAAAAAGCTCAAGAGGGCAGTGAGGAGACAAGAAAGGAGATGGAAATCAATTCACACACTGGGAAAGGACCCCACAAAGGGTTTGTCCTTAGGGCTCTAACAGGGTTCAGGTTTAAACAGAGGAAGAACTGGGGTGAGTATGCTGTAGTGTGCATACTGAGACAGCCAGGCTCGGTCACAGAGAGCTCTGCTGATCATGACCTCAGGTCGGCAACACTGTACAAGGCGGTCCTTCTCACTTGAGTTTCCATGAGAAATTCCAGCAGTCAGCTCACTATCATCGCCAGCTGCCACACTATGAGGCTGAACTGTTCCTGCCAAGGACAATTGGAGGCTTAGGACAATGACTGGAGACTCCTGGGCACCGGTTAGGGGTGAGCAATCTAGAACAAGACACTGTAAAATCTGACAGTAAGGGGCCAGTGACAGGGCTCCAGCTGCCAGGCTTGATAACCTGAGTTTGACCCTGGGACCTGTCGGAACATGTCCAGGAATGGAGCCCTGGGAGGGGAATTCTGAGTGTTTGTGAGAAAACTCCAAGAAACCAAGACAAGAGTCTTGTGATTTCAGTTTCTTCAAAATATGAAATTGAGCCTTGTGGTGATGGCGCACACCTTTAATCCTAGCACTTGGGAGGCAGAGGCAGGTGGATCTCTGTGAGTTCGAGGCCAGCCTGGGCTACAGAGTGAGTCCCAGGATGGCCAGGGCTATACAGAGAAACCCAGTTTTGAAAAACCAAAAACAACAACCAAAACCCACAGAATTGTTCTTGGAATGTGCTTTTGTGAGCTGCCCAGGGGTGTCGGGCAGGGGTGAGTTCACTTAAGATATTCGTCACAGCTGGCTATTGTTACTTGTTTATGTTGTTGTTTGTTTATGTTGTTATTTGTTTCTATGCCTCTACATGGTTTTTACCATGTGCCGTGTGTCCTTGTGATTGTATCCAGCTTGGATTCATGAGAACTTTACTCTGGTGACCTTTCTTAACCCTCAGGGTATAAATTTTCTGATGCTAAATTTATAAATTTAATAAATTACATTAAATAAATTGCGTGGGACCCCAGTCTGTCTTCATTTTAGGCTTCATTCTCCTAGGTCCAACCTTCTCTAGCGTGGTAAACAGGGAGCCAACCCCTGACCACTGTCCTCTGACCTCCACAAGCAAGCCGTGACACCCGGGTGAGTGTATGTGCACACACGTACAATTAATGCATTTTTTAAAAAGTTGATAGTAAAAATGCCTCAGTTACATTGCTCGGTGGGCTTTAAGCCCTAACGGAATGGAACGAGCTACCTTGGCATCACTGGTGTGGAGGCGAACACTCCTTAAGTGATTTACATGCTCACTTGCTTAAGTAAGCAAGAATTTGACACAAAGTAAGGAAGACAGGCACAAAACCAAGGCAGAAAGGCCAGACCTTTGTCCTGCTTGTGGGTATAGATAGGTCATGTTTATCAAAAGCGTTTTCTAAGTGTTTGCTGTGTTGTCGCTGAAGCAGGAGACTTGTCTTGCCCACATTAACACACAGGACGTCTCACCCTGTGTCAGGGCTAAGCTCCTACTGTCACCCCAGGAACCCCCACCCAGACAGAGGGGTCCTGGTATTGCCAGGGAGAGGCCCGATGTTTGGTGCACGAGGATTTAGAATGGGGAGGTGGGCTTTACACTTTCTTCTGGAATCTTCTTTGGTGTGTATAGTATAAGTGTGTGTGAGTGCACTCTGTGCAGATGTGTGTGCAGGCCAGAGGTTGATATCAGGATCTAGTCCTCAGTTGCTCACCCAGCTCATTTTTTGAGATGGGCTTTCTCACTGAACCTGGAGCTCTCTTCTTTGGCTAGACTGGCTGGCCAGTGAGACCCCAGAATCCTCCAGTGCTGGAGTTTCAGGCCCAGGTTTTATGTGTGGGTCCTGGGTATTTGAATTCAGATCCCCATGCTTAAGCACTTACCCACTGAGCCATTTCCTCAGGTGAGGACCAAGAATCCAGATCTGGGTGTGGGGTGTCAGCTGCAGGAAAGCGTTTGGTGCCATGTCTCACACCAGTTTGTTGGTACAGCCTACGGAGAGGCTAGAAGGCAGGACTCACACTAACCATCAGTCTGGGAGTGAATGCATGAAAGGTGTTGGTAAAATACATGAGGAACATCTGAAGATGTCTCAGCAGCACCCCCTCCACGGATTCACTCAGCCGTTGGATTTTATTGACGGCCTGGCAGGTCTCAGCTGCCTTTGCTTACTCAGTTGGTACACAGACTGGATCAAAGAGAAGATCTACGTGCTCCTTCGTCGACAGGCCCAACAGGCTGGGAAGTAGTTGAGTTGGAAGCATTAGGGGCTGAGGGTGGGCTTGGAACAGGTGCATACAGCGTGCTGTAGTGAACATTTTGTATGATAGTAACCCTGTTTCCATTTTGTTACTAGAGCCAAGATTGAATGTATGACACGATAGTGAATGATCTTTTCATTCGAAACCACCATTGCCCCTTTGCTCCTTTTCCTTTCTTTTTTTACTTAAACATTTTTATGATAATTCAGAGAGAAAGTGTTCTTTGCCAGTTAAGGTTGGTTCCAGTCCTGGAAACTGTTTGTATCTGCTTTACAGCAGTGAGTGCACTAACCCTTTGTGGGGGGTAGGGATGGTGACGAGCTTAGTTATGTCCTCTGGGAAAGTCTTAGTGAAAAATAAAAAATGTTCTGTAGGGGTGTGCTGGCTAGTTTTATGTCAACTTGACACAAGCTAGAGTCATCAGAGGTGAGAGTTGAGAAAATATCTCCATAAGGCAAACCTATAGGTCATTTTCTTTTTGTTTCTTTTGTTTTTTGAAACAGGTTTCTCCATGTAGCCTTGGCTGTTCTGGAACTCTCTCTGTAAACCAGACTGGCCTAGAACTCAGAGATCTGCTTGCCTCTGCCTCCCGAGTGCTGGGATTAAAGGTGTGTGCCATTATGCTCGGCTCAAAGCAGGAAACATCCTGTCATTTTCTTAATTAGTGATCGATGCTGGGAGGCAGGTCATTCTGTGTGGTGTCACTTTTGGGCTGGTGGTCCTGGGTTCGATAAGAAAGCAGGCTGAGCAAGCCATGGTAAGCAAGCCAGTAAACAGCACTCTTCCTTG